AACCCGGGAAGAACCAGCAGCAAACCCGGGGAGGGCCGAGCAGACGAAAGAACAGCGCAGGGTCCTGTGTTGCTCCTCCACGAAGAGGGGGAGCGACATAATGGTGCCGTGACTCGGATAGGAAACCTAGCTCGGATAGGAAACCTGACTCGGATAGGAAACCTAGCTCGGATTAGGAAACCTAGGACGGATAGCAAACTTAGGAGGGAAGAAACGGGAAGAAATGGGAAAATACCGGAGAGAGAAACTAGCAAACAGCCTAGGGAAAAGCCGGACGAAAAAGGAGCCGGAAGAAGCTATTGAAAGCCTAGGCATAGACTCGAAACAGCCTAGGGAAAAACCGGACGAAAAAGGAGCCGGAAGAAGCTATTGAAAGCCTAGGCATAGACTCGGATACGGACTACGGGGGGAAGCTGGGAGAAATCTCTAAGGTCGAAAGCGAAAGTGAAAGCTAGAACAAACAGACTCGGACGCGGACTGTGGGGAGAGGCCAGGAGAAATGAGGGAGGAATATCGTTGGAGGAAAGCTTGGGGAAACATACCGGGTAGAGAAAAATGTTAGGGAAATTGAAGCCGCGGGGGGCAGGCCAAGGCGGAGACGAAAGCCACTTTGGGGTTCTCAAGTTAGCCCGGGAATAGGGGGCGAAAAGTTGAAACCAGAAGCTGAGACGTAAGCCAGATTGGGATCCGTCTGATTAGCCCGGGGAGCAAAGGACGGGAAGCCAAATCGTGGGGCGGAGACGTACGCTGGGTTGAATTCGCCAGGCTAGCCCGGGGAACTTAGATTGAATCCTAGTGGCGGAGACGCAAGCTACGCTGTGTTACTCGCGGAAGCCGCCGCGTGCAGAGAGAGCACGGGGCGTGAATAGATAGGGAACGCTGGCGTAGGCCGTGGTTCAGACGCGAAAGGGTTAAGCGTGGAGACCGCGGAGCGCGCAAAGCCGAGCCACGCAAAGCCGGGAAGCTGCGCAGATGAGAGAGGCGCGCGGGCTGAAGCGGCGCAGAGCCGGGAACCTGCCGGCGGGGCGGGGTGCCGGAAAGCTGCGGGGATAAGAGAAACAGAAGTTTAGAAGTAAAAGAGAAATAGGAATGTTGGCAGACAGAAGTAAAATGGGAGAAATAGAAATGCCCGGAGATAGAGAAATAGAGAAAAATAAGGCCTCCCCTCAACATGCCAATGAGAAGGCTTGGATTCGGTCTGCCTGATTTAAGGCGGTAAGCGCCAGCAAAGCTCGACCAGAGTATGAGCTGCAGGTCACCGAAGATAGGCACAAACCAACACTAATAAGTCTCCCCCACAATACGGCAATGAGAAGGCTTGGATTCGGTTTGCCTGATAGGTTTTGTAAACACCTGCAGGCAGTTCTAGCAGAGTAGAGCATGCGCTGCAGGGCACCGAACACAGGCACGCATCAGCGCCTAAAAACCTCCTCACAATGGCGAAGAGAGGACCCGGATTCGGTTTTCCTGATTGATAGGACTTGTAAGAGCCTGTGGCAACGCTAGCAAGTAGAGCAGAGTGTGTGCCGTGGGACACCGAAGACAGGCGCGTATCAACGCCAAAAAATAAAAAGAAAGGGGGATCTGTGGGGAGCAATCCGGACTAGACTAAGTTACTCGAATTAAGACTTATTCTATGCATCTGCTCTCCCACAATGTGGCGTTGGGAGAGAAGTAAACAGCTTCCGCACAGCTGCCTCCAGTTCAACTGATAGACTGTAGGACTTGCTCCTGATTGGAGGAGAGCAGCGTACTCGGCGTGTGGGCAGCCGAGTTGGGATTGGCGGAGAAGGACTATAAAGGAGGAGAGAGACGGCATGCACCAGGAACATCTATGGGGAACATCTAAGGGAACCCGTGCAGCCCCCCAGAGAGCCGGCCGGCGGTGTGCCGCTCCCCTGCGGAAGTGGGGAATGCGGCCAGGGGGAACTGCCCTTCCACGGAGGTGGAAGGGATAGTAGCCAACCCGGGAAGAACCAGCAGCAAACCCGGGGAGGGCCGAGCAGACGAAAGAACAGCGCAGGGTCCTGTGTTGCTCCTCCACGAAGAGGGGTAGCGACAACCTTGGAAATCGCTCTGTCAACCTCCTACCTACGGGAGCTGAAAACCTCTTCAAGTATCCTTGGTTCACCATCAACCATGCCCAGCTTTGTTGGGATCATAAACTCACTTCTGTTAAGAAACCTTCCCTCATTTATTAGCAAGCAGGCTCATTCACCCATTCAGAACACTGCATGCTGGTTATGTGCTCTGCAATGTGCTGGACCCTCAAGGATATGGAGATGAATTAGCCATGGGCCCCCCTCACTGTTCTTTAGACTCTAACAGACTCCACCTGCTGAAGAACAGATAGGTGAGCAATACAATCATAACTCAGCTAGATGGCATCAACACATGCACCAAACCCAGTGTCAGGACAGAAAAGCAAACAGTGATTCCTCTAAGAAGCAAGGAGGACTTGGCCTGGGAAGATCCCACAGAGGAAGCACTGTGTAAGCTAGGAATGAATCTGGAATTGGCAGGTCAAGAAGGAATGGGTGTGCTTAGGGGGCTTGCTATTCACTGATGATCCCTTCACATCACAGGACTTGAGGATACTGAATAATTTGCATTCACGGGAAGGGCATTTTCATACATGGCCTGTGACTAGACAAATTGGCTTAATCTTTTCAAGAACCAATTTGGTAAAATAACATCAAAGATTATACAATGATCATATCTTAGGCCAACTAAACTGCACCTGAGAGACTCTACCTTGATGAAACCATAAGAGACACGGGAAAGATTCTATACAAAGACAGTGCCTATGAACTGGAGCATTGAAATAGGGGGAGAATTACAAAATATGCCCTGTGCTTTTCATTGGAAGTTAGGTAAATACGTTAAGGCACATTCATTATAGGGGTTATTGTGCAGCTGTTCATTTTGGATATTATGTCATGGATTGAAAATATTTATTCAGATAATGCTAAGTGAAAAAGGAAACAAATGTGTAAGCATGATCATAAGCTTATTTTTAGAATCACATATATAACAAAAAGGGTCTAAGACACGGCACCCACATCAAAGGTGTGCATTTCACTCTTTATAATCATGACATGAATTTCTTCTGGAAGTTACTGAGACTTCCAGTCATAAATAATATTAATATTTTTCTCTCTTATTTCTTCATAAATATCCACATCTGAACACATGGTGGATGCATATTAAATGTCACAGCAGCTGACCAGTAGAGGACATTTCCCTACTCTCCCTCTTCCTAGGACCTCAAAGCCACTAAAAGCAACAACACTTGACCCTTAACAGTTTTTGTATGTGCTGGATGTTCTTCCAAGCACCTCTACAGATATTAATCCATGAAACACAGCAATTATAGCAGGTATTATCATTCTATACAATAAAAAAATCAAATCGAGATAAATAGAAGTTAGCCATTTACCCAAGGTTAGCTAGTCAGTCACAGAGCTCAGACTTGAACCAGGGAGTATTGCTCAGGGACCCTTGCTCTTAACCACTCAGTAAAGAAGCTGTGAAATAGTCAGCTAGCTGGACACACAGACAGGCCTGAAACCCCACACAGATAGTCAGTATGAGTTGGAAAATGATGAAGATAGAGACAGAGCTCAAAGATGCCTTCTGGAAGTCCCTCTCCCAAAGGAACCTCAACGTCTGGCAGCACGTTCTTCCTTTCTGAGTGACAGGATGACAGATACAGAATGGTGTCTGAAATATGGGCAATCATCATTGCGTAAGTAACCAGTTCAGCATTGGAGAGGGATTAGAGGTAGCACTTAGCTAAATGCAAAAGGCATAAGGGATCTTGATATTTTCTTTGCCCATTTTTCCCGAGGCAGACATGGTGATTGTTTCTTCTCTGATGAACTGACTTGGATTATAAGGCTCAGGCTTTGCCTAGAATTTAGACACCCCACGGCAAGAACACACTGTTCATGGTCACCAAGACTCCACTCCTACAATACATATACACATTCTTAGAGCAGGACAAATAAACATTAGAAATAATGAGTGAAGTCTCTGATACACAGAGAGACATTGGTGGCCCCCTAATAAAAATGATTAACCAAAGGGGACAGAAGCCATTATTTAAATACATTCATATTAAGAACTGAATTAAATATTGAGTGATTCTGTTGTTGGATCTGATTGATGTTTCTGCAAAAACTATAGATTGAGCAAATGCTTAGATGCCTTAGCTGAGCTCTTGATCTTTGGTATCTTATGCTTTCAATTCATTCATTCCAAGTCTTGGAAAGGGTTTTCTTCAACATCCATACCAACAGAAGGTCAGGATTATTCTCCAGTAGTCCAAGAGTTTGCAGGCAGCTGGCCTAAGCCAGAACACTTTTCCTAATGGAGAACTCCTGACTTCTAAGCCACATCTGAAATGAGTATGTTCTATCAGTTTTTACTGACATGCACTCCTGCCTTCCACTTTTATCCAGAACAAGCAGAGCCTTGCAAATAGGAATCTACTTCTCACATCTCACACAAATATCTTCACCATTTTCGATGAATGGGCATCTTACCCAGCCCTGACCATAGGACACTTTGCTATGTTTCCCTTGTCAAAGTTGCCGGTATCCTGGACCCAAGTGTTGTAAGACTGGTTTACTCTTCTTTCAGGGAAATTGTACTCTTAAATTTCAGATTCTGCTATCCCTCTTTTGGCTTTATTGGTGATAAAAGTCATGGGAAGCAATATGAGGGACAAAAGCTCTTATTTCACAGATGAGAATGAGTGGCCCAAGGAAAAGAGAGCATTGCTACACCACCATCAAGCAGCTGCTGGTTCTCTTTCCGTGGCACTTGATGCCACACACATTTCAACCTCCTTGTGGCACTGATGGGGATACTGAGCAGCCATGAAGCTCAGGATGGAGCAGACACTGCCCCAGTCATTTTCTCCAGCTCCCACCCCAGGCCCACAGACGCCTTGTCTGAACCTGCCCCAAGTGGAAGGCAGGGTCAGAATCTCTTACTCATTTCCATGTATTCTGGAGTCAGTCCAGTGTATGGCTCCAGACTGTAGTCCAGGTCCCACTGCTCGGGATGTTTTGAATGGGCAGAGTCTGTTTCTCCAGGTTCTGTCTCATCTTTCAGTTTCCGAAATAGTTTCTTTAGTTTCCTGGACAAGAAAAAGACCAGTTATCAAAAGCTTCTGGAAAACTGAATTAGTTCTGCAGACAAAATGGCATAAATAATTACGTTTTGACACTGAGGCCATCTTCGATCCAAGGACAGATAGACACTTGTAAAAGACCACTTTCTCCAAAAGACAATCTAAAGAAATCCTTTATCAACATAATGGAAGACTTCCCGCAGCAATGGAAAGCTTTCTTCAAACCCAACGAAATTTCTTCTGTTTCCTGCTGTTTGATAAGCAAGAAGAGAGTTGGCTCATCTTGCCTAATGTTGAGATGTAGCCAGTCCTTCACTGAACATTTATTCTATCCATCTGCTTCATGGGGAAGAGAGAAGTGTCCAGAAAATAGCAGGAAGATGCTCTCCCCCAAAACATTGTTTGGTTCTCAATGACAACAACATCATTAAAACCAAGATACACATTGTCTTTCATTACTATGGACTTGAGTGTGCCCCTCCCCCTCAAATTCCTACCTTGAAGCTCTAACCTCCAATGTGACTGTAGGGGAGCTCTCCTTAAGGAAAACATGTAAACCAAGACTAAATAATGAAAGATGGTAGAAGAGTGCGAAAGGTGGAGAGTAGTGTGACGGGGAAGGTGTTAATCTAACAGAGGAAATTATGTCTACAACAGCCAAAGGAGAGCGTGAGAAGGGGTTGTAGGAAGGACTGAAGGGTGCCAAACTGTGCAGATCGTGGAGGACAAGAAATAAAATACTGAAGGGTAAGACTCAAAAGGTAGCTCATGGCATAATACAGCCTACATCATGCAGAGAAGCAGGTGACACGGTCTAGGATGATGCACTAGACCTGAGGAGAAGACAGAGTTAAGGCATGCTTAGGAGGCAGAATTAAGAGGATGGTAGTGGGTTACACATGCAAGAGGAAGGAGAAAAAAGGAATCAAGGTTGTTCCCAGGTCATGGTGCAGTTTGCTAAGGTATAGAACACTACCAAGGAGGCAGTTTTGATGGGGCAGAGAAGAGGACAAGTTTTGAGGTGGAGAAATACAATGAGACAACAAAGGAGGCAATTGTAAGTATGTGCCTAGAGCTGAAGATACACAGAGACTCAAGCGTCATTATGGAGACAGGAGCTGAAGCCCTGGCAATAGATGTTGGCTATGGATAAAGCAAAGGGCCAAGAGAGAGGAGCCCTGAGGGTGGCTGGTACTGTGGGTTAAACCCCCACTTGCAATGCTGACATCCTATATCGGAGTGGCAAGTTGAATCCTGGCTGCTCTGCTTCCAATTCAGTTCCCTGCTAATATGAATAGGAAAGCAGCAGAAGATCCAGATGGAGCCCAGGGCTCCTGGCTTAGCTCTGGACCAACCCCAGCCATTGTGGCCATATTGGGAGCGAACCATCAGATGGAAGCTCTCTCCCTTCTGTCTCTCTGTCTCTCCCTCTCTGTCACTCTGCTTTTCAAATCAATAAATAAATACTCTTAAAAAGAGAGAGAGAAAGAACAATCCCTGAGTAATATCAGCAGTTGAGGGTTGGGAAAGGAGTAGCAGGAGGAGCCTTCAAAGTACACGCAAGGAAGGACTTTGCAGTCAGCAGTGTGGGTAGGTCCAAAGAGATGAGAAGAAAAGAACATCCACAAAGAGTTCTTATGAGCTCATCATTCCAGAAGTTTCCATCCTGGATATCTCAGTGACCATTAAAAAAATTAATAAAGGAAGTCCCTCCAGAGCAGGATTTAGCAGGCATCCTGCAGGCTGTATAACATACAGATGGGCGGCTTGGAAAACTTCGCATTATGATTCTGACCACATGATGCACTTGCTTGTTAAAATAACTCCTTTGATGTTACTCTCTTGTCTTTTTCATCTGCTCATTTTTTGTCCCTTTTTAATGATGCATCTCAGCAATTCTCTCTGGAAGGTTCTGAGCTTCTCCTCTGCTTGTGACCGTTGGGCTCACATCAAAACTGTGGTGATTGTCCGTCACACCTTGGTCATCCCTTCAGGGGAACCTGGCCCCTGGCAGTTCCCAACCCACTTGGCTCCATGGGTCTTGAGCTTCCCTAAATAAAGCAGGCCCCAGATCTACATGAGCCAAAGACGAACAACACGTCAACCTCTAAGCAATTTATTCCTTTTTCCTGACACCTGACAAGGTTCAAATTTGTTCCTTAAACTTCTGATTCATGGCCAGATTCCACTGTATTTGAGGAGAGCACAGACCGCCTGTGACGGCTCTACAGAGAGACTGTTTTATGTCTTGAAATTTAATATTTATCACATTCACAAAAAGAAAGCAGAAAGTTTATGACATCTTACTGGCTGTACCCCGGGGTGTATCACAGCTATTTTGGGATGGGATCTGGTACATTTAGTAAAAGGAAGGATGAAGAGTCATTTTGCCAAGGGAAGAACTGATTTCTGTCTGCTCTGTCCATCTCAAAGTATGCCCAGGAAAGAAGCCGGTTTTTACCATTTCACACACACACACACGCACGCACGCACGCACGCACACACAATCCATCACTCTGAATGTTAAGGCCCGTTTCAAAGTTTGCTTCAACATATATTGGAGCTAAATCTGAGGTCTAATTTTAGCGAGGAGTTGGGACATGGTGCAGCATGTTTTAGGGACACTATGCAGTTTGGATGCAAAAAAATCTACTTTGCACAAAGATGGGAAAAGAGGGTTTCAGGGAGGGAGAGAAGAGTGGAAATAGCCATCCACGGACTCCGAGGATGAAGAATACAAAATCTGATTCTGCCATTCTGCCTGCTGGGTAGGAAATCAATTCCGAGAGCTGCCTATGAGCATTATTCTGGGGCATGTCATGTTTAAAACCATGTGGTTCCTCTGGGAAAGCAGCTGGCAGAACGGTGTGGGACCCCAGGAGCCTGGGTTGCGTGACTGGGGACAGTCCAGGCCGGATCACGCAACCAAGTTGTATCCATTAAGGTAGCATTAGTCACAGAGCTGACTTTAAAGTGCCTAATGCTCCCTGTTTTACTGCCTGCCTTTGAAGTTATTTCATTTTTCTGCAGTAGGCCTAGCAGAGAGTAGGGGGGCTACTGCTCCTTGGAGGAATTTGCCTGGACAGAGTAGGTCTTCCATACTGGCCCTGCCTGGGCACCTGTCAGGTGTAGAAGAGGAATTTACAAGATACCATCAAAAAGTTTCTCTACACTTGACCTTACATCACATGAGAGCACTGGGGGAAAGAAATATTTCAATCTCCACTCTTACTTGGTTCCTCTAATTACAGTGCAGAAGAAAAATGCCAGTCTGCTATTGGTATGCATTTAATAGCATCCCAGTGCTTGCACATCATCTTGTTAACAAAGAGAATGCAGGTCTTCGGCCACGAGCCTTGGGTTGGAAATAAGATCATGGACTGTTATGGGTCTTGTGTTTCTTTTCACTGTTATTTGTTATTCCTGGTAACTAAGAGGGTTAGCATCCATCATCAGAAAAGTCAGGGATTTAAGTAAAATATATGTTTAGGGGAAAGCTTTTGGTCCAGAGATGTAGATGCTAACTGGGACACCTGCAACCCACATCAGAGTGCTTGACTTCAAAGCCTGGAATTCTGGTTTCTGAATGTGGATCCCTACTAATGCACACCCTGGGAGGCAGCAGTGACTGCTCAAGTAATTGGGTTCCTACCACTGATGTGGGAGACCTGGATTGAGTTGCTGGATCCTGGTTTTGGCTCAGCCCAGTCCTGGCCCCTGCAGGTATTTGGAGAATGAACCAGTGGATGGGAGGTCTCTCTGTTTATCTGTCTTTCTCTATCTCTGTGTCTCCATGACTCTCAAATAAGTACATAGTAAAAGTGTGCTGGTTTAGAAGAAATATATATATGTATACGCACACACACACATATGTATATATAACCAGTTCTTGCCTCTAGGATAAATATGTCTTTCTTTTGGCAAAATATTTGATATAGGCTATAGAATTACATTATAGCCATATGGCAAGCCAAAAGCCATGAACTGATGTCTTTGTTCTCACTCTCTGGATTTAAAACCCTTAGGAAACAACACCTATGCACTTCAAAGTTCATGTCACACAGTAGCCTGGAACCCCAAGAATAATTCTTCCTTTCTCAGATGTCCATATTTTCTATTTTCTAGAAAGCTGGGCATTTATCCAAGATTTTTTTCCCACTTAACCACTTTGGAGGGAAATATTTTTAAAGTTTAAACCTCAATCTGCAGGGCCACTAAGCCTTTGCCCAACCAAATCTCTCCCCTACTGAGATATGTTACAGATCACAGATCTAATTTTTATCATTTACATGACTCCCTCGTCACTGTCAGAACCAACTTTGATTTCTCTTTTGACTCCAAAAATTTTCCTCTTTTTTCCTTGCTTGTTCCATGTTTCTCAATTGTCTCCTGTAGAAGTATATTGCTCAATGCTTGAACTCTGGCATGCAAGGGTCTAATTTCTTGACAGAGGGTTCCAAAGAGACAGATCCAGTAATCATAAAGTGATTTCAAAACATAGCCTGTAGAAATGGGAAGAACTGCAGAGATGGACGACCTCAGGATGTGGGAGGCTGCTTGCTCTCCATCCCTGAATTGAACTTCATAGGGATGTTGCATGCACCCATCTTCAGGCCAGGAACGGACAGGAGGGAGGAAGCATCTCTGAGGCCGACGTGACTCATCTTTGCAATCAGCAGAGGCCAGCTTCATTCTCCGGAGCAGAGTTTTCTGGGGCTTGATCTGAAAGGCACCTTGGGGGTGAGAAAATGCCCGCCTTCAGGAGATGACAGTGAGGCCGACAGAACCGGCTTGCCCACAGCTTTGTGAGTTGCCATGCAATTGCCATGGATTCAAGTGTGGCACATTTTCAAACACGCAGGTCTTAAGCACACATCAAACCCAAGCAAGACAACCGAACTTCCAAGGAAAGCAGCCATGTGTTACTTTCGTCTGCCCTGGAGCTGATGGGGTTGATGGGTGGAGGACATGCCAACAGAATGAACAAACATAGGCCTTGGGTTCTTGCTGCCTGAAGACAATGGGCTAAATGGTGGAGCAGAAGTCCAGAGGTTTTCACGAATGGGCATCTCTCACCCACAAGCTGCATGGAATTTCAGATGTCTTCCCCAGATGTGTGCAGGGGAATGAAGACTTTCCTCTGTAGCAGACATGAAGGGGTTGGTCTCACAGCTTTGAAGCAGCCAGATGGGATGCTGGGAACATCCACATGCTCTCTGGATGTCTGTGCAGAACCAATGTCACTCTGAAAGTCCCTGGGTACAAGCAGCACCTGCCTCACCAGCCTTGGTCGATGCACACTGAGCGACTCTCAGAAAGCAGAGAGTAGGGCAATGTGTTAGAAGGTTGAGTTCCTGGAGGCTGAGGGTCATTTCACTTACGACTGCAGGCTGCTTTATGCTGGGAGGCCCCCAGACACCTGTGTCTCCACCAACCCTCCTCTAAGAAAAGCACATATCTGCAGTCACCTGAGGTTTCTCCAGCCCATGGGCAGAAAATCCTGAGTGTTCCATGTCAGCGTGTGACAGGGGTACCCATTCCGAGGACCAGGATGACACTGAGCTATGAGGCCAAGGTTGAGAATTCTCATCCCTGCAAGTAGGGCGCTCACTGGAAAAGGGTTTTCCTTCCACTAATATGTCTCCGTAGAATGTCTCCATTCTAATTTTAGCTCCACAAATGTGTTTCTGGGGAAGACCAAAAGGTCGATTTCTCTGGGGCCTTTCTAATAGTGGCAGCCCCCACGGGAGCAGGTGGCTGTGTATAATTTCACATAAAAAGGGGTGGGACCATACAAGTGACATTTAAAAAGCTAATAAAGAATGTATTAGTATTTGGTGTAGTAGTCGACATGCCGTTTGGGACACCTGCATCCCATAACAAAATGCCTGAGTTTGAGCCCTGGCTCTCCTTCTGATTCCAGCGACCTGCTAATGCACACCCTGGGAACAGTAGCTGGTGGTTCAAGTAGCTGAGTCCCTGCCACCGGAGTGAGAGACCTGATTGGAGCTCCTGGCTCCCAGCCACAGTCATGCAATGCAGGCATTCGGAGAGTCAATCAGCAGATGAGCTTGCTTTCTCGTTCTCTCTTTCTCCCTTTCTTTGCTTTTCGAATAAATAATTTTTAAAAATAGAGAAATTAAATAATATATAAATTCTGTTAGGAAAGTCACTTTCGCTAATGTGTGAAAAAGAAATTGCAGCATAAGAAGAGGAGAAACCAAGAAATACTGATAGTGGGGGCCGCTGCTGTGGCTTATTGGGTAAAACCATTGCCTGCAGTGCTGGCATCCCATGTGAGCACTGGTTCAAGTCCTGGCTGTTCCACTTCCGATCCAGCTCTCTGCTCTGGCCTGGAAAGGCAGTGGAAGACGGCCCAAGTGCTTGGGCCCCTGTACCCACGTGGGAGATCTGGAAGAAGCTACTGGCTCCTGGCTTTGGATCGGCCCAGCTCTGGCTGTTGCAGCCATCTGGGGAGTGAACCAGTGGATGGAAGACATCTCTCTTTCTCTCTCTCTTTCTCTCTCTCTCTCTCTCTGCTTCTGCCTCTCTGTAACTCTGCTTTTCAAATAAATAAATCTTAAAAAAAAGAAATACTGACAGTGGTTCAGAGTGTAGCAGTGGAGATGAAGTTCATGGATTTGGAGATATTTTGAAGATAGAATTAAAAGGAATTAATCATGAATTTATATAGGCTAGAAAAGAAAAGATTCCCAAATATTTATATGCTTAAAAGTGTGCATTATGAAAAAATCATGCCTGAATTAAAAATATTCCTTGCACCAAAATAAATATATTTGCTATTTCCATTTCCCACAAACTTCTCGAAGTGCCTCAAGATCTTCTAGGGACTCCATCCAGGACTTGCCAAGCCTTAAGCAGATTTAAAAAGATCCTGGCTCTTGCCTTTTCCAGGCCCCTGCTGTGCCCCAAGACCTTGGTCAGAGAACAGCTGTCTCTCTCAGCTCCACCTCCTCCATCCGTGCCCCCCAGGCTGATAAGAACAGAGGCGACCTGTCCTCCACTCAGAAAAGATACCCACATCCACAGGAGAGGAGCCTAGCAGGGCTCCGGTGAGAGCGCCGGGCAGGCATGGCAGCCTGCCTTCCAGACCTGGACACATGCTGGAGAAGCCTCTCTGCCGCGGCCGCCTTCTTGGGCCGCTGGGAAACTCCCCGCCTTTACTCACTCTCAATTCTGATGGGGTTTGCACCATCAACAAGCATCCTGTTCATGAAGTCTATTTTGTTTCCCAAACTAAAATCCTAAGCTCTGGAAAAACAAGGGATATCTCATAGACATTTGTCATTTCATAGCCAAGCCAGGCGAGGCATGAAGTGGAGGAGGCAGCATTCCCAGACAGCCCTCCTGCGGTGTAGACAGTGCTGTTCCTGGTCACATGGCTCCTGCAGTGTAGACAGGGTCATTCCTGGTCACATGGCTCCTGCAGTGTGGACAGTGCTATTCCTGGTCACCCGGCTCCTATAGTGTGGACAGCGTCATTCCTAGCCCCATGGCTCCTACACTGTCGACAGCATCATTCTTGGTCACATGGCTTCTACAGTGTGGACAGTGCTATTCCTAGTCACATGGCTCCTGCAGTGTGGACAGTGTCATTCATGGTTACATGGCTCCTGTGGTATAGACAGTGTCATTCCTGGTCACATGGCTCCTGCAGTGTGGACAGTGCTATTCCTAGTCACATGGCTCCTGCAGTGTAGACAGGGTCGTTCCTGGTCACATAGCTCAGGGCCTGATTCTCTGACCTTTAAAGTATATTGCTGGAGCCACTTCATTCTTAAACAAATTCCTCTGCTGTCTGAACTAGCCAGAGTGAATTGCAACGGCTGCATTAAGAATTCTGGGCAATAACGTGAACAAGTGCAGGTGGAGAGAGCAGGATTAGATGAGTGTATGTCAGAGGACTTCTCAGAACCATTAATATAATGTGTGCAACCATGTCTAACAGGGAGGGGGCAGAGTGTGCCAGACCCTCTGACTCAGCCTCTGGGGACCGTCTGATGCGGTACCCCACAATGCTCCATCTTGGACGTAGTTTGCAGAGCCACAGGCCTGGGGAAAGTTATCAAGCTGTCCTCCTAAAGAGAACTGGCCTCACCTGCGAGAGGTATCCCTCACCATTTCTGGGGTTTCCTCGTTCTCTGGTACTTGGCTGGCCGAAAACCTCTTTGAAACACATTCCTGTTTAAAATCACAAGTCAGGCACCGGCTGTGGTGCGGCAGGTTAAGCCGCAGCCTGCGACACCAGCATCCCATGTTGGAGAGCTGGTTCAAGTATGCTTCTGATCCAGCTCTCTGCTAATGCCCCTGGGAAAGCAAGCAGAGGCTGGTCCAAGTGCTTGGGCCCCTGCCACCCACGTGGGAGACCTGGATGTAGTTCCGGGCTTCAGGTTGGCCTGCCTTGACTGTTACAGCCACTAGGGAGTGAGTCAGCCGGTGGAAGATCTCTCCCTCTCTCTCTCTCTCTGCTGCTCTGCCTTTCAAATAAAGATATAAAATCTTTTTTTTATAAAACAGGCAACATAGAGGGAAGGCAGGGGGTTACAATTTCTCTGACATAGGCAGATTTGAACTTATAGATTTGGACTTATCCCATCTTCTCTTTTAGCTCCAGCACCTGCGGTTCTGTGTTTATTTTCTTTTTTTAAAAGATTGATTTTATTTATTTGAAAGACAGAGTTACAAAGAGAGATAGAGACAGAGAGAGGTCTTCCATCCATTGGTTCACTCCCCAGAAGGCCGCAATGGCTGGAGCTATGCGGATCCGAAGCCAGGAGCCAGGAGCTTCTTCCCGGTCTCCTATGTGGGGGCCCAAGGACTTGGGCCATCTTCCACTGCTTTCCCAGGCCATAGCCGAGAGCTGGATGGGAAGAGGAGCAGCCGGGACTAGAACCAGTGCCCATATGGGATGCCAGCGCTTCAGGCCAGGGCGTTACCCCGCTGCACAACAGCGCCGGCCCCCTGTTTTTTTTCATGATTATCTCAATGCAAAACCTCCTAAAAAGAGTCTTCTTCCCTCTTCCCTCCCTGAGACCCTGCATTCCACACTTTCTGCTCAGAGATTTTCCTAACAGATTCCACTATGTTTCTAACTTTCGTATTCATCTACCCACCATACCGGAAATCTCGCACTTACTCACTGGGGGGGACAAATTGCATTAAAAATATGATGCTCTTTGGGGTCTAAGGTTTCTGGGCATGAGATCTCTGCTATGTCCTAGCTATGTGTAGTCAACCAACAGTAAACCAGACTGGCAAACAAGGCCTTGGGAGAATTCTTATCCCTTGGGGAAAGTTATTGGAAACTGCACACAGGAGTGAACACCCAAGGGCTAGGAGACGGGGAGAAGCTGTGGCTATCTCAGTGAGGTCTGGCACTTGTGGACGAGGCCCAGGCAGCAAGGAGAGCAGTGACAAGAGGGCTTTACATACGGGACTCCAATCTCAAAGATGTTGTTCTGGATCAGCTGCTTCCCCAACATGATGATGCTGAGCTGGATGCACAGTTCCATGAGGCAGCCTCCCGGAGCACACTGCAGCAAGGGGGAGACGGAGAGAGGTCAGGGCAGTAGGACTCAGAGAAGCAAGGGTGTGGGGCACGCCAAGCTGTAATGGGGGTAAGGATGGGGCAGGGTGGGGGTGAGGATGCACCTACAAGCCACAAGCCAGGCATGACGCACCATCGACTATACTTGCCTCTTCCATACGGTAGCCATCAAACACATAGACGTAGCTCCCAGGCCTGCCCACAAACCTGAAATCAAAAAGTGGGGGTGGGATTAGGGAAAGATAGAGTGGGGCAGGGCTGCTGGGTGGAACAGTCTCTGCTCAACGTCCTCTTGGAAGCACTGGCCAGGGAGGTGCTAAGTGACTCAGGGACAGAAGTTCCTACCTTGTGATCGGTGAGCAATCACCACTAATACTTGACTTCTCCTCTTAATTAGGCTAAATTCCAGGAGACACGGCTGAGCAGGGCAGGGGCTGAGGCAGGGTGTTGTTGGGAAGCGGTGTGCGTGTGCATGCATGTGTGTGTGCATGTGTGTATATGTGTGTGTGCGTTGTGATTACTTCTGAACCTAACACAATGAAGTTTCACTTAGATCTAAGGCTATAATCTGTGCACCTTCTTCCTTTGCCTACAGCCAAGAATTGAGTTCTGATTGCAACTTTTTAATGAGGGCTTCATATTTCTGGGAATGAAGAGGGAGACTGACCAAATGTGCAAGCAAAGCTTCCTGGGATCAGAGAAGAAAATCTCTTGACCGCTCCCTGAAAATAACCACAGGGATGCATGGAGCCTTCATCATTCCTCTTCCATTTTATTGGAGGATCAGAAGACGCAGGTGGGGGAAGCAGAAAAGTACAAGCCCCTCACAGAGCCTGGCAGGCCATCAAGAGTCCTCGTGACTTGAAATGCCATTTGCCTTGCCTACATGTTGAAAGCCTACTCGTCCGTTTAAGGACGGGCTGGAATCTCTCCTATGACATCTTCTTGTTTCTGTACACAGCTGTTCCCCCAACTCCTCTTATTTCAGCACTTACTGCATCTACTGCTACCAAGACCATCTATTCCAATGCACCACAAACTTATCTAGGAGCCAAGACCCCTTTTAGCCTGAGACATCCCAAGTGTGCAATTTTATATATATTTGAAATTTACATGGAAAACACCATTGAAGTATATACCCCTTAATGTGGGCATTCTCTCTGCTAGCTCCAGGGGCAGAGGCTCTGAGAAGGCCATGGTTTCCTGGCTCTGAAACATATCTACAGAAATCATATACTGTGGGTAATGACAGTTCCTGCCACTGGTGCTTGCTTGTATTTCTAGGGAAGCTTCCTGATGCAATTGGCTGATTTCTTCGGGGAAATCTCCTCCCAGGCAGCCAACTGGCCTGACCACAAAAAAATATTTATCAGAAGTGGTTTTACATCCAGACAGATAATATAACAAGGAATTTTACTGGTCCTGGTCCCTGGTTCCCAGGAGCAGCCTCTAACTCCTTGATGTTCCCGGAGTGGTGAGTGTGTCTGTGTTATTTGTGATGGGCCCTGGGATTCAACCTAGGATTATGCTAATGAGATTGCTGATATGGGGGGCAGGCCATGCCAGAAAGACCAACCACTTTGGTTAGGGCTTTGAGCCACATTTGACCTCAGAGGAGAGCAAGGGGATGAGAGCTCAGTTCAATCATAGGGCACACGATGCCATCAGCTATGCCTTAGTAAAGGCATCCCAGTAAAAGCTGGACACGGAGGCTCAGGTGCCTGGTAATGAATGTTGATGTTCCAGGAAGGTGACAAATCCTGAGGGCACGCATGCTTCATGATTAAGCCATTGCAGACCTCACCCAGTGTGTGCCTCCCACTGACTGATCTGGATTTGTTTCTTTTTTCTATTAAAAAAAGAAAAAACCACACACACACACACACACACTAAGTATAGCACATTCCTGAACCTTCTTAGTGAATGACTGAGCCTGAAGGAATGGCAGGAACCCTGGAATTTATAGCCAGTAGATCAGAATTGTGAGTTTCCTGGGAACCCCAGAGCTTGTGGCTGGTGTCAGCAGTGAAGGACCTAAGAGCCACTGGCTAAGGTGGGAGATTCCCCACTGCTACATCCTCAAGCCCAGGAAACACAAATTCTTCCAAGACACTCCCTTCAGGGCCCAGGAGCAAAGACATCCCTGCAGCGTTACCTCGGTTATCAGAGTCTGAAGCTGCTAACTCACTGCTGCTTCTAGAGCAGCGAGGTAGATGTGCAGGGGGCAGTCAGGGCTGTGGATGGGTGGACATGCAGGGGAGGTCAGGGTGAGGACGGGTGGATGTGCAGGGGGAGATCAGGGCTGAGGATGGGTGGATGTGCAGGGGAGGTCAGGGCTGAGGATGGGTGGACATGCAGGGGAGGTCAGGGTGAGGATGTGTGGACATGCAGGGGGAGATCAGGGCTGAGGATGGGTGGACATGCAGGGGAGGTCAGGGTGAGGATGGGTGGACATGCAGGGGAGGTCAGGGCTGAGGATGGGTGGATGTGCAGGGGGAGATCAGGCTGAAGATGGGTGGATGTGCAGGGGGAGATCAGGGCTGAGGATGTGAGTTGCTAGAGACAGCTGAGCCTTCTTGTCCTGACAGTGTGAGACCCAGCCTGAGTGGCAAAACCATCTTTCCACCCATGACACCATTTACTCACCTCCCCTTGAAAAAGGCCACGTAGAAGATGGGGGAGTAGGCGTTAACAAACTTCAGCAGGAAAGCCTTGAGGATCAAGCGCTCTTCGAACGTCTGTTCTGTTTTTGGAACCTCTGCAAGACAAGAGTGGTGCTGATGGGACTGAGGGGAGATTCCCCACCTCTCCAGGCTTTTGACCTTGACACAAGCCTTCAGAGCAGAAACCAAGGGCGCCATCTCTCTGGCACACCAGAAGTGGGGTTCATCTGGGAGGCCATGGTGTTCCAGGTGGCAAGAGGCCACAGAAGGCAAAAGATCCACAGGATCATCTCCTCCTCCCATCTCCTTCCTCTTAGCCCCTGCACTCTTCCTTTTTTTTAAGACTTATTTATTTATGGGAAAGTCTGTGTTACATACATACATACACACACACACACACAGAGAGAGAGAGAGAGAGGTCTTCCATCCACTGGTTTACTCCCTAAATAGCCACAACAACCAGCGCTGGGCCAGGCCGAAACCAAGAGCCAGGAGCTTTTTCCAGGTCTCCCACATGGATGCAGAGGCCCAAGCACTTGGGCCATCCTCCATTGCTCTCCAAGGAGTATTAGCAGGTAGCTGGATAGGAAGTGGAGCAGCCAAGTCTCAAACTAACACCCATATGGGAAGCCGGCATTGGAGGTGGCAATTTTACCCACTACACCACAGCACTGTCCACCCCCACCACCTATACTCTTCAAAGAGGGGCCTGGGCACACAGAGCTTCCTACCATCACCCTTGCTTTGTCAAGAGGAGTTCAACTTTCCCCTGAGTAACTTCCACTTCCATAAGGTTCCTGATTTACAAGGCTCATTAACCACTAGAGTTGAGAAGCTGCTGTGACATTGCTCCTCTTGCCCTCCGTTTGGAGCAGGAAAACATTCACACACACACACACACACACACACACACTCCAACCTCTGCATAGGCAGAGACACCTCAAGTTTGCTCACTGGGATGATGGAGGTTCATCAGATAAGGTAAGTGAAACAAAGCCTAAGCCGACCGTCTGAAACGCCCAAGTCATAGTGTCACTGCACTGTAACCTAATTAAGGAGTCAGCCGACACCCCTGGAAAAAACACTGAGCAGAAAACCTCCCGGGTGTTCACAGAGACTCCAGCCACCAGCGCAAGTCCAGTGGACAACCAGGCAGGACCCTTACGTGGACTCCACAGACCAGGGCAAATGGCTTGGCAAAGATAAGAGGCTACAGGGGTATTCTTAGCCTGCTTGCATGGCCGTAGCAAAGAATCATAAAGTAGGCAGCTGACAAAGGGAAAGTTATTTCTCTCAATGGTGGAGCTGAGAAATCCAAGGTGAAGGTAGACTTGGTGTCTGGCAAAGGCCAGCTTTCTGGTTCATGGAGGGTACACATGGCAGATGGGGTGTGACATCTCTCTCTCATCCCATTTACAAGGGCTCTGCCTTTACAACCTAACCACCTCTCAAAGGTGCCATCACCTTGGGGGTTAGGATTTCAACATATAGATTTTGGAGGGAACGCAAACATTCGGGTCACAGCATGGGGCCACACTCTGCGGCATCAGAGGGAAAGCCCTGTGGCCTGGCACACAGCACAGGGCCAGGGCCGCACCAGCAGGGAATTCTGTGTCCAGTTCCACTTGATTTGCCTGCCCACCTGATTGAAGAAACAGACACAAAACCCTGTTCTCTCCCCTGGAGTGATCTTCTCTCACCCATCCCCCCATGTTTAATCCATTGCTTCCTCTAACACCCAGAGCCAACATACGTGCTCCTTCCTGAAGCTTTCCCAGGTGCCTCCGGCTGGTAGCAACCTTTCTCTCTCATATGCATGTAGGTATACTTTCTATCTTTCTGTATTAATTACCTACATGCATGCCCTTTGAAAATAAACAATAGATAATAGCTATCACTGATGACCTAGGCCCACTTATTTGGACACTCCCCAACCCAAGGAACAGTAAGTAAGTAGTCTGAGGCTAGGTGAGGGGGTGGGACATGAGGCACACTCAGCACCACCACAGGAAGGACTGAGCGAGCAGGAACCCTTCACTGGTGCAAAGCTACTGTCAGGGTCAACCTCCAGGCACTTCCCACCTGTCCCACACACAGAATGAACGTTTTCCGCAGCCAGACAATGCCTGCAGACACAGAGCTACAGGAAACCACTTGGGGAACGGGAATCATCTGAACATGACCTGGAGGGTGGCCAGGGGACGTGGGTGCTGCCTCGGAGTGTCCGTTACAGCTGCTCTGCAGATGGCGCTGTACGTGGACTTTTGCACTGGTCACCTCACTTACTCCTCACCTACCTACATGATGTAGGCACTACATTTCACTTTCACAGATGAAGAACTGAGGCCCAGAGGGGTTGGGGTCTTGCTCAAAAGTCCCACAGCCAGTGACAGCTGATTTAAACTCTCTATGACTGTAGGTCCCAGAGAACTCACCTCCGCCTCTGCAGGAACCTAGATTCGAGTTCTGGCTCCAGCTCCAAATGCCAGCTTCCTGCTAATGCAGAAATGCAGTCCCTGATACCCACATAAGAAACCTGGATCGTGTTCCTCACTCCTGGCTTTGGCAGACCCTTTAAAGACTGCACCCCACATTCTCTGTTACCCCTCTGCAACTTCTGCCCCCATCTAACACAATGCACACGAGGAAAGTGCATCTCATTCAGTTACGTTCACTGAGCACTGTTTGTGTGCCAGTCACCACACCAACACGGATGGGACTCCAGCCTTCCTGCAGGGAGTGTCATTGAGTAAGGTCTCCCTGGAAAGCCTTCTGCACACTGTCAAGTCTCTCATATTTAACTGGGATCTGCAGGCTCTCATCCTCCCTCTCTTGGTTGAATGGTTACTAGGAGAGCACCAAGCCCTTATCGGACTGTCAGTGCTAGGACCCAGCTTGAGCCATGGGCAGTGATGGCTGCTCTTCCTGGCATGCCCCCAGCCACCTTCACTGTACAGCACAATTGCATGTGTAAAGAACCTCCTTTGGGAGAAGAATGAAGCCTCTAGGCCTCCTCTGAGCCTTGGGGAGCCTCTGCTATGCCCTTGGCATCTGGAGATACAACTTGAAGATCACCAAAATACAGTGTGGAGATTCAGCTGCCAGAGAAAACAATGGGACTGAGTACCGTGAACTACTGTGCGGCACGGTGTGTAGTGCCACTTTGTTGAACATACTAAACTGAATAAGGCATTGTTTAGAAGGGTTGTATTTGTTCAATTAAAACTTTTTTAAAATATTCTTTCCATTTTACTTGAAAGAGAGAACATGATCAAGAGAGACATCTTCCATCCACTGGTTCATTACCCAAATACCTGCAACAGCCAGGGCTGGTCCAGGCTGAAGCTGAGAGCTAGGAACACAAGCCCAGGTCTCCCACACAGGTGGTAGGGACTGAAGTACTTGAGCCACCATCTGCTAAGTCCCAGGGGGGGAATTAGCAGGGCTCTGGATAAAAAGTGGCATAGGTGGGTCTCGAACCCAGGCACTCTGTTATGGGAAGCAAGAGATCCTAGGATGTCTCAATTGCTGTGCTGCACACTCACTCCCATTAACTATTTAAAAATAGATCTGATAGATATGCATGTAGGTATATTCAAACTTCTAAAATATTTATTCGAGAGGCAGAAAAAAACAGAGACAGAGATCCCATCAGCTGCTTCCTTCCCTAAATGCCCACAATGGCCCCAGACGGGCTAGAGCCAAAGCCAGGAGTGAGGAATGCAACCCAGGTTTCCTATGTGGGTATCAGAGACCCCATCATTTGAGCCATCACTGCTACCTCCCATGGTCTGCATTAGCAGGAAGCTGGCGCCAGAACTCAGATCCAGGCTCCTGCAGAGGCAGAGGTGAGTTCTCTGGGACCTACAGTCCTGGGAGGGGATGTCTGGAAAAGCTTAGAAACCCTATGGTTGGGGCTGACATCAAGGCGCAGTAGGTTAAGCCTCTGCCTATGGCGCTGGCATCCCACATGGGCGCCGATTCTAGTCCTGGCTACTCCTCTTCTGATCCAGCTCTCTGCTATGGCCTGGGAAAACAGTGGAAGATGTCCCAAGTCCTTGGGCCCCTGCACCTGCATGGGAAGACGGGGGATCTTGGCTTTGGATTGACCCAGCTCCAACTGTTGTAGCCCTTTGGGGAGTGAATCTAGCAGATGGAAGATCTTTCTGTCTGTCTCTCCCTCTCTCTGTCTGTAACTCTGCCTGTTGAATAAAAATACAATCTTTAATAAAAATAAATAAATAAAAAGCAAACCCTAAGGCACTACTACAGCAATAGCATTGCCTACTAGGGCAGGTGGAGACAGCATTTTAATTTGATATGAGGTGCAGCTGGGGAAGTCTAAGGTACTAGCCCTTGGTCAGTAGACGACTTGGGGTTTTCTCCTTCCTAAGGAGCCTGAATGGAGCCAGCCCAAGAGCTGCCAGACCTGGGTAACTGCACCTGGCTTTGTCAGATGATCATGATGGGGCCTCATCACTTCCATTAATACTGTGTGTGCCAGTTATTTCTTCTCTAGCTCATAAATGTTAGCAAACACCAGCTAGATCCTTAACCTCCTGCAGGGATAAGGAGTCTTAATTCTGCCAAGGGCCATTTGGATATTTATAACATTCACAGGCCATACAGAATTTCTACTTACAAATTAGCCTGCTGCAGATTGACTGAATTTCAAGTCCTCCCTGTGATTGGCTCTGCAAGGCCAGACTAGATCATTTTGTGGGTCTCCTATAAGAATGTTCGCACAAGCTGAACATTCCCCTCCCTTGGAAAGCCTTTCCCCTTCCTGCTACAGATCCTGCTATGATCAAGAAGCCAGTGCCTGCCTGTCGAATTGACTAATGCAGGTCAGGGCCTCACCCAGCTGAAGATCCACCTGCCTATCTTTAGCCTGGCTCTTACTCCCCTAGCAAAAGGAAACAATTCTGAAAGGTGGAAAAGGTCTATCATTGATTTCTAAGGTCATTTTCAGGTTCAAGATCTCATGATTGACTCCTCATGTGCCTCTTTGCCCTACCACGCCCCCACCCACTTGCACCCCATCCCCGCCACATACAGTGAGCAAAGTCCACGAGAGAGACACATCTGGGCCGAC